CCTTGCCACCTTCGACCCCGCGGTGTGTGAGCAGTTGATGTACCTGGGCATCCGCCGATGTGTTCGGTGGCAGCCCATGGGAGCCTCTCATACCCAGACATGATCGCGTCGTTTAACAGGACGAAAATGTTTCGCTATTTTCGGCCCCTGGGGGCCCTCGCCAGCCCCTGGGACCGTCAAAAATCGACTCGGGATGAAAAGCCGGTCCTGGGGAAACGGTCTGGACTTCCGGGGACGCCGTCCTGAAAAAATCAAGACGTCGCATGTCTGGGTACCCTCCCTCCCACACCCCAATACCCGGAAAAACTTCCCGAGGGGGTCTGGAGGCCGAGGAGGATGCAGCCCGCGCCCAGCAGAAGGCCGACGGGCGCGCGGTAGGCGTGGGCAGCGCGGGCGCTCGGAGCCAACTCATGGGAGCCACCCATACCCAGAGTTCCAACGCTCACAAAAAATTGACGCGGCGGAATGTTGGCAGCTTTCGGCCTCCCGGGGCCCTCGCTGGGCCTCGGGATGGTCAAAAGACGATTCGGGACGAAAACCTGGCCCCGGGGAATTGGTCCAGAGCTCCAGGGCCCACGCATCGAAAAGATTGGAGCGGCCGGATGTCTGGATCATGGGCGCCTCCCATACCATCTTGTCGGCTCTTGCGAATGGACGCCCGTCGACGCTAAATCGACACTAATCAGCGCCAGATCGACGCTAATAGACGCTAGCCGACGCGAAGTCGGCGCTGTCCCATCGACTCCTGGACGCTAATCGACGCGAAGGCCGGACTTGCGAGGGCATACAAGGCCCCCATGAATTGCCACCGGATGTGTGATTTTTCAATCGACGAGAACTCTCTAGGATGAGCAGCGCGATCGGCATCCTTTCCTCGTCTGACCTCCGGCTTCCTTTCCGCATCTGGCGGGTTCCAGAAAGCCTCAACCAAAGAACCTTGCCGTGTCTTGGGGAACCGATGACAACGTCCGTTGGCCTGCTGCCCGTAATAGCCTCGTTTTGCTCCCGCCGCCTTCCGCCGGCCTTCCGCTGCATTCCGCCGAGGAAGCTGGTGTCAATTCCTTCGGTCCTCACAGGCGAGGCAGCTTTTGGAACCATTGGATAAGGAACCACTGGGCAAGCTTAAGAAGTCCAGGGCCTGAACATCTGGTGGAGCACCGAGCAAGGCTTGGCCATGGGTATCACCGCCGCCCTCCTCAGATCAAGAATCCTCCAGGGTCTGAGGCCACCAAAGCACATTCCTGAACCAACGCCCCACCACATCCGTTCCTCACCTGATTTACGGCACCCTCTCCCCATCTGGCCGATTTCGGAAACCCTGAGCCCAACAACGTTTTCATCTCTCGGGGGCGCATCTTTTATTTCCGCCGCGCTCTGCCAGCCGCCCGCCGGCGGTGACGGCCACGTTTTACTTCCGCCGCCCTTCCGCCGCCCTCCGCCGAGGAAGAGATGCCAACTCCTTCCGTCCTCGAAGGCAAGGCCATTTTGTTGCAGCGTGACGGCCACGTTTTACTGCCGCCGCCCTTCCGCCGCCCTCCGCCGAGGGAGAGATGCCAAGCCCTTCCGTCCTCGAAGGCCAGGCCTTTCTGTTGGAACGTGACGGCCACGTTTTACTTCCGCCGCCCTTCCGCCGCCCTCCGCCGAGGGAGAGATGCTTAATTAGCCCTTCCGTCCTCGAAGGCAAGGCCATTTCGTTGCAGCGTGACGGCCACGTTTTACTTCCGCCGCCCTCCGCCGAGGGAGAGATGCTCAATTAGCCCTTCCGTCCTCGAAGGCCAGGCCTTTTTCTTGGGGGCGCCCCGTCTGGTGGCTCGCGCGGCGGCTCGCGCGGCGGCCTACGCGGGCCGGGCTGCCAGCGCGGCACACCACGCCCTGGAAACGCGGGCGCCGACGCGCGGGCCGCCCACGCGGGCCGGCCTCGGGCGACGACGGCCCCACTCTTCGGCGCCGCTCCTCTGACGTCTGGCACCCTCTCGTCGTCTGGAGTTGTGTCGCTCCCATCGTACTTGAGGGCCACATCCCAGGAAGGATTTCGAGCACGCAGACAAGATAGCGAAACAGTGTCGGACGAGTAAGTATCGCCTCCCGGGGCCCGACACGTGGTGCCCTCTCCTCATCTAGAGGCCTCCCAGATGGGGTCGGGGCAGATGGGGTCGGAGGATCCCGCCGCATCGCCGATGCATCGCCGATGCATCGCTGATGCATCGGCGATGCATCGGCGATGCATCGGCGGCGTCGGCGTGGAGAAAACCGGGCTCCACATCGAGCCGCATCGCCGATGCGGCGCGATCCTCCGACCTGGTCAACTCGGACCACATCTGGGGGGCCTAGCTTACGTTGTTCCCATCGTACTTAAGGACCGCATCCCAGAAATAATTTCGAGCACCCAGAAAAGTATCGAACGTCTGCCCGACACGCTAGCAATATGTCGAACATGCATAGCCTCCCAGGGCCCCACACGAGAAAATCCTCAAATTTTGGCACTTCCCCAGTGCTCGAAGCTCTTGCTGGCGATCAAAGCTCAAATAGGTCGAAATAGCACAAGGCCTAGCTATCATTAGGTCGGGCATGTCCCCCGCGGATGTTGGACGAAAAATCTGAAAAGGCCAACATACTTGAACATGCCCAAACAATAATCGACAAGTCGTCCCGGGACTATTTTGTTGACTATTTTTGGATACTCCTTCTGTAGAGGGGCGCGCTCGATTTAAAGCTATCAGCCGGGCACGAATCCACCCTGCCCAGGTTGTGCCACCCGCTCTGCGGCGAGGCGGCGAACTTGCGGGCCGTGCCCTGTGGCGAGAGGCAGCCCTGGCGGGCGCCAGGCGGGCTCTGCAACTCCGGGTCGGGCTCGGCCTCGGGCTCGGCGGCCTCCTCGGCAGCCCCGTCGTCCTGCGCGCCCTCGGCCCAGACTCCCTCGCGCTTTGGAAAAAATCACGACGGGAGGTTTTTCGCCATTTTCGGCCCCTGGGGGGCCTTACCGGGCCTCGGGACCGTCAAAAAAGGACTGAGGATAACAAGCCGGCCCTGGGGAAGGGGTCCGGACCTCTGGGGGTCGACGTCATGGAAAAATCACGACGTCGGGGGTCTGGGGAGCAAGCCTTGTCAGAAGGCGCTGGGGTTTCTCAGACGCCCTCGCGCCCTCCGAAGAGTCTTCTCGGCGCCCTCTCCGCAAACACAAGAGACTCTCCAGAAGGCTGGAGGGCTTCTGAGAAGCCCCGCCGCCTTCTGAGAAGACTTGCCCCTTCTAACTTCCCCAGCGGGCGCGCCGCCGATGTCGCGGACGCCGCGATCGGAGGGTCCGGACCTCTGAGGGTCGACGTCATGAAGAAATCACGACGTCGTGGGTCTGGGACTTCGGATCTGCCGTGCGCGAGTCGATTTCCCAACTTTAGAGTTTGAGGGGCCAGTTTTTCACAACCACTGCCATAGGTAGGACGTGGGAGAAGGGATGATGAGAGGGTCCTCCTCCTCCTCCTCCTCCTCCTCCTCCTGCTGCCCACTGCAGGTTACTTCTTCTCCTCCTCCTCTCCTCCGCCTCCTTCCTCCTCCTCCTCCTCCTCCGCCCTCCTCCTCCTCCTCCTCCTCCTTCTCCTCCTCCTCCATCCTCCTCCTCCTCCTCCCCCTCCTCTCCTCCCCCTCCTCCTCCTCCTCCTCCTCCTCCTCCTCCTCCTCCTCCTCCTCCTCCTCCTCCTCCTACCTATGGTAAGGGTGGTGGAAGGTCGGCCCATCAGAATTGAATCAGAAATAACCCCGAAGGCTGCGGCAAACTAGGGCGCAGAGTTCCGGCTGTGAAAATTTGGGCGGAGCATTACGCAAGGGCATGACGGAGGCAGCGATGGCAAAGTAGGGCGGAAATCGACATCAGAGGAGCTTGAAAAGTACGGCGGAAATTTCCGCCCTACGTACGAAAAGATTTCAGATACGGCGGATCAAGGATGACGTCGACCCCCAGAGGTCTGGACGACCCCTTCCCCAGGACCGGTTTGCCATCCTGAGTAGTTTTTTGCCGGTCGAAGGCCTAATAAGGCCCCCCAGGGGCCGAAGATGACGAAAAACCTCCCGTCGTGATTTTTGCCCAAGCCTGAGTCGTTTCTCGACGATCCCGAGGCCCGGTAAGGCCCCCCCCAGGGGGCCGAAAATGTCGAACGAAGAACCTCCCGCCGCGATTTTGTCAGAGCGCGAGGGGGGTCTGGGGGCTCAGGGCCCCATCCCTCCTCAGGGGCCCCCCAAAGGGGGCCGAAGAATGGCGAAACAAAAACCTCTCGTCGCGATTTTCTCTCAAAGCGCGGAGGGGGCTCGGGGGGCTCAGGGCATTGCCTCGCCGAGGGAGAGGTCCGAGGCCCACACGGGGCGCCTCCAGCGAAGGGGCGACGACGACGACGACGGCGACGGCGACGACGACGACGGCGACGGCGACGGCGACGACGACGGCGACGGCGACGGCGACGGCGACGGCGACGACGACGACGACGACGACGACGACGACGACGACGACGACGACGACGACGGCGGCGACGACGACGACGACGGGGCTCCTGCGAGCCCCGGTACGCGCTGACGCTGTGGCGGGGGTCGCGCTCGCGCCGTGCGCACGCCGTGGTGAGCCTGCACCGGTGCTGCGGGGAGTCGCGCCAGTAGCTCCTGCAGAGGAGGAAACGAGGCACGAGCAGACCCTGACTTGGGATCTTGATTTTCTGCCTCGCGTAGGGGACAAACAAAAAAAAACGCCATAAACATAAACTTTTGGCGCTCCGCGCGGATTTCTGGGATATGCGCTGGACCCCCCCCATCTGGCGCGTGGAGCGCGAGCGCGCGCGGATACAAGAAATCCGCGCGGAGCGCTAAAAGTTTATGCTTATGGCGTTCTAAGGCACCAGCAGACCCTAACTTCGGATGTTGATTCCCCAATCCCCCTCGAGTAACGAATCACATCACAACGGGAGGCGGGAGGCGTTTCGACACTTTCGGCATCTGGGGGCCCTCGCCGGGCCTCGGGACCGTCAAGGAACGACTCGGGCTGAAGCACCGGTCCCGGGGAATGGGTCAAAACAGCTGGGGGTCCACGTCCTGAAAAAAAACATGACGTCGGAGGTCTGAATTCCATCCTTGAGATTGTGTCGGAAATACACACCACAGGGTGTCAGAAATGGACCCCGTGCTGTGGGGCGTCGTGCCAGCAGCTCGGCGGCGTCGGCGTGGAGAACATCGGGCTCCACATCGAGCCGCATCGCCGATGCCCCGGAGATGTGGCGCGATCCTCCAGCCCCGTCTACTCCGACCATCTGGAAGGCCGAAATCCTGGGAGCAGGATCAACAGCACAAACACAAACAGCCCCTCCTCAGATCCCGGCGACTCATTTTTTTCGAGCCGGGCGTTTTCGCCCAATTTCGGGCTTCGGGGCCTTCACAGATCGTTGCGGCTCGACAAATTACGCAGGACGATGGGGTCTGGGGGTCTGGGCGTGAATTTTTTACGATGCTGCAATTTTTCCGCTGAGTCGGATCCCAGGGCCAGACGTGCTCGCATCGTGGAGCACATCCCGACGGGAGGTTTTGGGCCGTTTTCGGCCAGTGGAGGCCCTCGTCGGGCCCTCGGGCGGTCAAGAAAGAACGGCCCGGGATGGAGAACCAAAGAGGGCCGCAAGACGGCCCAGGAGCCACCCAAGACGGCCCAAGAGGGCCCAAAGACGGCCCCAAGAGGGGGCCCAGATGGGGAACCCGAACGGACATTTCGAGTCCTCGGCCCTGAGGGGCCCCGAAGAGGCCCCAAGAGGCCCAAAAGACCCCTAAAGAGGCCCCCGAAGGCCCCAAGACCAAGAGGCCCCCAAGAGTCCCCAAGAGGGCCCCACGAATCAAAACTCTGTAGCTAATCTGAATCTCGAGATAAAGCGGGAAAACATAATATACACCTCGAAAATTGCAGAGTGCGAGTAGTTTTTCGGTCACAGCTCGGGTAACAGACCCATCTGAGATGTCTTGATGGTTCAGACTGCTACTTCTGAGCGGCTGAAGCTACTGATGCACATGAAACCGCTGTAGCTACTCTAAATCTCGAGATTCAGTCCATGAACTGACCGCACGTGCAAAATATGGTCTCAGGGCAAGTACCCGTCATATAAGAGTTTGTCCTTCAAAATGCTCCGTTCGACCTAAGATCAAGATAGCGAGCAGGAATCAGATTGAAGTCGTCGGGGGAAATGTTCCACCTGCGAGAGCGCTCCGAAGAGACCCGAAGAACCATCCTAGAACTCCGACCCACAGCCCAGGCACGGTGGCGGGATGGGGCGAAGGCCGTTCGATAATATAACACTATAAGACTTCTCGGCCCGCGCGGCACCCCTGGGGTGCAGACGCACACATCGTGTACCCATCTTGCCCTTGGGCGCCGCCGATCCAGAAGCCGCAGCCGTGGTTGGCGCACCTCGTGCGGCAGTCCGCCCAGCCCAGGGTGGGCCCGTCGTAGATGACCGGCGACCCGGCACCTCAGCCGCCCCGATGCGCAACGCGCAGCCCGCAGCGTGTTGACACGGAGCTCAACATACAGATCGACAACGTCCGTCTGGCGCGATGCGTTCGCCAAGACATGGGCCGACACGTGCCGGGCGCACGCGCAGCGTGCTGACACGGACGTTTTGAACATGGCACGCGTTGCCTTGCAAATCGGAGCCTGCGAGATCCTGCGGCACCCTGCAGGATCCTGAACCCCAGCCCGGGCCAGTGCGCCACTGGCCTGCAGGATCCCGCAAGGTCCAGCGCTCTGGCCGACCCCCCGTTTGCATCGACCCCCCTCCCCAGAAAAAACCGACGTCATGATTTTTTCATGACGTGTACCCGCAGAGGTCAGGACCCCTTCCCTGGGACCAGTTTGTCATCCCGAGTCGTGTGTTGACGCTCCCGAGGCCCAGCGAGGGCCTCCGGAAGCCGAAAATGGCGAAACACATACTGTCGTGTTTTGTTCATTGCTCGAGGGGGTCTGGGTCCCTTGAGTCCCGATCAAAACAGGCGTACCAAGGCAGCTAAGCCCGGCACAGGTCCTGATACTGCTACTCCTCGGACCTTTCCCGGGGTGCGCTCTGACCAGGACTTCGAGGCGAATCCAGCAGTGGCAACGAGGGCCTCCGAGGAGGCCCAAAAATGGGGAAACGGGCGAAGGGTAGAGGTATGCCCAGACATGCGAGGTCCTGATTTTCTCAGGACGGCGTCCCCAGAAGTCTCGACCCTTTCCTCTGGGCCGGTGTCATCCCGAATCGTTTTCTGACGGTCCCGGGGCCCGGCGAGGGTCCCCAGGGGCCGAAAATAACGAAAGACTTGCTGTCCTGACTTTTGTGCGACGCGATCCTGTCTGGGTGGGTAACCTCTCCTCCTCTGACGCGAGCCCCGATCATAGCGGGCGTGCCAGGGCAGCTAAGCCCGGCCTCCAGGAGGCGGAGGAGGAGGAGGAGGAGGAGGAGGAGGGTGGAGGAGAAGGGTGGAGAAGGAGGAGGGTGGAGGAGGAGG